GGCTCACCGTCCTCTGTTAAAAGGCAGTATGCAATATTACCTTCTATAACATAATCTGAGTGCCAATTGGGACGTTTTCTCACACGATCTGATTGACGAGTTATTGGAGCTTCAGAACTCTCTAGTTCTTGTTCATCATGAGCTGGTTCTGCTTCAGAAGAATCTCCTTGTTCAACCTCCTTTTCCACATGTATATGAGTAGTCTCTGACTTTTCAGCGCTAGCATCGTCTTCTTTTCTTTGTAGCTTATCTTCTACAAAGATAACATCCCTGCTAATGATCACTTTACGGGTAGTGGGATCTCACAAGCGATACCCCTTTACTCCATCAGCATACCCCAAGAATTTGCATTTCCTGGATTTTGGATCCAACTTTGAAATTTTTTGGGAGTTGTACATCACGTACACAATACTTCCAAATACATGGAGGTTTGAATAATCAGCTGGTTTACCAGTCCACATCTCCATTGGTGTCTTCAGTTCTATTGCAGTTGATAGAGCTCGATTCACCAAATAACAGGCGATATTGACTGCTTCTGCCCAGAATGATTTTTCTAGGCCTGCATCCCTCAACATTGCTCGTGTTCTTTCTAACAAGGTTCTGTTCATCCGCTCTGCCACTCCATTTTGTTGAGGAGTGTTCGCCACTGTGAACTGTCTTTTGATGCCTTCTCTCTTGCAAAAGTCATCAAATTCTTCGCTTGTGTATTCTCCTCCATTATCTGTTCTGAAACACTTGATCTTATTTCCAGAATCAAGTTCCACCCGCGCTTTGAAGTTTTTGAAAGTTGCAAACACATCTGACTTCTTCTTAATAGGGTACACCCAACATCTCCTGGAGTAGTCATCAATAAATGAGACAAAGTATTTTGCTCTGCCTAGGGATGTGACCGGTGCTTGCCATACGTCAGAGTGAACCAATTCTAGAACACTTTTGCCTCTAGAATTTGATGTGTTGAATTTCAACCGGTGTTGCTTACTTGTTATACATTGCTCACACAAAGGAAGTGATACCTTTGTTAAGCTGGGAAGTAGCTTTTGCTCCACAAGGACTTTCATTCCTTGTTCTGACATGTGTCCAAGTTTCTTATGCCATAGCATTGCAGAATCAGAACTACATGAGGCAACAGAGGCTTCTGCTTCTAGCAAAGTCTCTCCCTTCAGCATGTACAAGTTTGCAGCTATCTTTTCGCCTTTCAGCACCACAAGCGCTCCACGGAACACCTTCATAATTCCTTTCTGTGTTTCAATATTGCTTGCATTATTATCCAACAATCTGTAGGATAATAAATTTTTCTTCAGACCTTTCACGTGCCGCACATCTCGAACAACTTTAATTGTTTCATCATACATCTTCAATTTGATGGTTCACACGCCAACGATCTCTAAGGCATGATCATTGCAACTATACACAGATCCTCCTGAGACAGGTTCATAATGATGAAACCATTCTCTTCTTGAGGTCATGTGATATGTTGCTCCAGAATCAATGAGCCATATATCTGCAAAACGTTTTCTGCCTTCCACGGTGGTTGATGCTTCACAACATAGAGCATCTCCATCATCTGAAGTGTTTGCGGTATTGCCTTGTGGATTGGAGTTTTTATTTAGACTCCAACAATCCTTCTTCAAGTGACCCTTCTTTCCACAGTGGTAGCACTTTAAATTCTTCTTGCTCCTTGACTTCGATCTACCATGTTTATGACTGCTGCTTTGGCCACGTTATGTTGATCTCCCTCTCATCATTGGCAACGCTTCTGCTTGTTGCAGATTTACTTGTCTGTCTTCCTTGTTCTTGCGCCGATTTTCTTCTTGTAGAACAGCAGCTGCAACGTCATCGAATACTAGACTAGTGACATTATTGTTTGTCAAGTTGATGATGAGTTGATCATACGAATCCGGTAGACTTTGAAGTAGAAGTTCAGCACGTTCGTGTTCTCCTATTTTACAGCTTAAGGATGTAAGCTGAGAAAATAAGGTGTTCAGTGTATTTAAGTGCTCCGTCACTGAAGTAGATTCTGGCATACGGAGAGTGTACAATTTCCTCTTAAGGAAAATTTTATTGTGCAACGATGTGGCCTCGTACAGTTTTGTGAGATGATCCCATATCTCCTTAGTTGTCTTCTTCTCCTCGATGCTTGACAATACTTTATCTGCTAATGCTAGATGAAAGTTTGTCATAGCATTCCCGTCCATCTCGTTCCATTTGATGTCATCTGTGAAATCCACCGGCCTTTCATTGATAGCCGCTAGACACCCGTCTTTCCTCAGGATGACTTTCATCTTTAATTTCCACAATGAGAAATTTCTCCCATTGAACTTTTCAATATCAAATTTCGTTGCCATAGCTTCTATTACGAATAGCTCCCACTATTTCACTATCGTGAATAGTTCTCTGGAACCTTCAAAGAATGAGTAATACCTTCTTACTTTCTTATGTTGGAGGATCCACCTTTTGGTGGCACCCACAAAGACAATAAGCAGATATTACACACTCCAATCTGGCTCTGATACCAATTGTTGCGGAAGACGGCTATCGGATATAGCAAAATCGCAACTGATAATTTGAGAAAATAAAAATGAAGATAAAAGAGACACAAAATTTACGTGGAAAACCCCTAAAAATTTAGGGTAAAAACCACGGGCAACGGTAGAAGAATTTCACTATGAGAAAATAAGAATTACAACCTCTCTCGATCTACCAAGGAGAAAACAATGATAATTCTCTCTTGATAAAAAGGAGAAAACAACTCTCAAGAAACTCTCTAAATTCTCTCTAGTATTGGAAGAAAGCTAGAATGCTTTGGGATGGTTTTGAAGCTAAATAAGCTAGGGTATTTATAGTTGAATCATAAGGACTAATTTGTAAATATCCTAAAGTCTAGGGGGCTAAAAGTGCAATTTTACCCTTGCAAATTTTTCCACAATTGCTGGCTACTTTTTTGGTGCCATTAATTGTGCACTTTCGGTGCCCCCAAGTTTGACAATTAACTTGGACTTTCAACAACTTTATGGCAAAATGAAGCAATAATTGCATAAATACAAACCTAAGCAATATAAACGGCCACCAAAGATTCTGGAAAAGGCCCAAATTTATTTGGCTTGATAATGTTTACATATCTATACAAATGTAAGAGCAGTAACTACATGTTCCTAATAGTGCAGAGAAAACTCCAATCACTATGTAAGATTTCTTACTCAAGAATTATATGCAGCTGAGTCTTTGTCTTTGATTACCCAAGATACTTCACAATGTTCTTATGATTCAAATTCTGCAAAGAGTTTCAAGTTTTAATTAGCACTAACCAGCCAGCATCAGACAACTACCATGGAGAATGCAAGATGACCAGTAAACAACAAATATTGGATGGGGAAACTGACGGTTGAAGCAGAGCCAACAGGCAGTAAGACAACTTTAGTGCACAATCTGAGAACTAATGTCCATCAGATATGCATGTGAGCACTTTGATGTAGCAATATAACGAGAGAAAGGTCCAAAAAGCACCAATAATAAAACAAAAGTTACCTTCAATAAATCAATCTCTGCTGCAATGTTAAGCCATTCCACCGGCCAAGAGCATTCAAAAGAAAAAAAGCAACTTGTCAGCCTCGCTAGCACTACAGAAACTAGAATTAGTAAATATTGGATGGGGCCGGTAAATTTTCAATTTTAGTCCCTTCAAAATTTAAATTTATACAGCCGAGGTAATAGTGAAATCACGTTTTAGCACCTAAGAATTATATAATCATAATTTAGTCTCTTTAAATTTATAAAATGAAATAATATCACATTAAATACATACATCTTAACAAAATATCTAGTTATTCAATTTGATTTTTCATTTGTTAGATTATTTTTCCTACCCTATCAAGTAACAGAATTGCCGCCATTGTTGATTGTAGGATCAAGATTCCATAATTTAATTGAATATAATCATTCTGAAAAAGGTATTTAATATGATCAATTCTGATAGTAATTTAATATGATTAATTATAGTGTTAATATTTTATTTTATTAATAGTTATTAGACCAAACTTATTAAGTAACTTTAATGATAAAAAATATTAATCTTTTAAAGAATTCAGATAAAAATAGTTTCATTTTAGAATGTTTACATTTTTAATAGATACTATTTTATAAATTATAATTATCTTAAATTATTTAAAATAAATGAATATTACTTTAATTATCCTAAACTATTTTAATTTTTTTTTTAAAATATATGATAAACTATTACATCATTTGACCGTTATTACCATGATTTAGGTGGAAAATTAACCGAATAAATTTCAAAATTGAAAGATACGTAAAGAAGAGTTTGTTGTACAAGTATACAAATAGTCTCATGACTATAAGATATTATTTTGTTGAATCTCTCGACTATTAAAATTTATAAGATGATTTTCGATTATAGGCAATTGATTTGTTGAGTCATCTGACAATTAAAAGTTATAAAATAGTCACATGACTATTCATCATGTTTCAAACTCGTCATTTTTTGTTAAAACACTAACAATCGTCTGAGCTAAAGGTTAATATGTTGATTGAGATATACTTGTTTTTGGAGATTTTATTACATCCCAGTTAACGTATAACTCAAACTACCGTTAAATTTTTAATAGACAATGACGAATTTCAAACATAATAAAGGGTCAATTTTATAATTTTTAATAGTCGATAACACAACAAAGCAATTCCCTATAGTTGAGACCATTTTATACTTTTCAATAATTACAAAACTCAAGAAAACAATATCGAATTATTTGCATACTTCACCCTAAATTAATTCAAGGTTAAACCGAATATATTAAATTTGAAATTCGATTCACACTGTACACCTAATTAAAATAGATACCGACAACAGCTTTGGTATGGTATCGTTGCTGATGTTAGAATCATCTTACCATAGTTAAAATCAAACTACTCTTGTTTATTTTATAGACTATTTAGTTCATGTGTTCGGGAAAAAACAACTGAAAAAGAATCCAACGCACCACAGGAATCCAAGGCAATAAGAAATACAAATAAAAAAAAAAACAAATTTCTACATAGTTTTAAACCAATGTGTGATTCTCATTTGTCATCAGCCCAAGCCTCCATTCTCAAGCTCATTAAGGCTCCCATAGAATGGTGGTTTCAGCTATCATCGACGTGACGGTGTAAGGGTCCATGTTTGACGATGGCCTGCGATCTTCGAAATAGCCTGTCGGTTTCATTTCCGGGTAAGTTTTTACTAAAACTCATGCGAGAATTCAAGGAGATATATATTTCTTTAACTAAAAGAAACGGAATAATGGTACCTTTTCCGGCTTTTTCGGTATCTCGACCGACACGGACGGAGGCTCCCCTGTTTGCAACACCCTATTCCAACATCACCACCCAAATACGAGTTATACTGTAATTGATTGCGATAAACATCGATAACAGAGAGAATCAGAATCATTTAATAACGATCATAATATTACGTTGAGTACGGAAACTATTAGGAGAATTAGCATGCTCGTCAAGCTTGATACTCAAATTTGTACTAAATATTTGATTGTAACAGTCCTGTCTAGGAACACTAAAGAAAATAGATGATCAAATCGGCTGAACCAATTCAATAAAAATCAAACCGAAATCAAAAGTGTTCGGACGAGTTTAGCCGTGGTGCTAAATTTGGTAATACATGTTAAACTTACCCACGAGAAAGTGTTGATATCAGCAGTCTCGTGAAGACCAGTTAAGCGTCTCTCGTTGCCCTTACCGTAAGCTGCAATGTGCTCCTTGTGACGTTTACTCAACTTCTCGATCGCCTTCTTTATCACTTGGATTCCATCATCATTTCTCATCGACTTTGTGCTGAGACAAAAAGAAAGAAAGAAAGAAAACAACAAATTTACTCTTCTGGTCGAATTATCATATAGCCCTTACCATAAGCCAGAATAGAAAACTCGATGTCGAATCAAGTAGAACATATTTATTTGGCATCTTACCTGAAATTGGTATGAGCGCCAGCACTATTCCAATCACCCTGATTGAGGGAAATAAAATAGCAAAATTATTTAATAAAAACTAAAAGAAAGGAAGGAAAGATAAATTAAGATTGTAGCAGTAATACAAACCGAAACTGGTTTGGGATCGAAAGAAAGAACAGCTCCTGCGATTTCAGTGATTCGCTGTTAAAAAAAATAATATTAAAGATGTATAAAAAAAGACAAAATCTGTTAGAAAACATTGGTGTTTAATAAGAGTCATAATTAAATTCGAAGTTAAATCGTGTCGGATTTTTTTCTATCTATAAAACTTGAATTTAAGACATTGTTTAAAGAATATCAAACTTTCTTTGTCACTTAATCCGACAAACATTAATAAGTTTTAATAAATTAAAACATCAAATTTTACAGATGTACCTCGAGTATGTATCGAGCCATCCATACTTGATCCCCTGTAGAAATCCCACAAATTGGACCAATTTGGAATTCCCACTGTTCAACACAACAAAATGATGATATAAGCTCTTAAATATTTCACAGAAAACATAAAGAGTAATGTACGATTTGATCTCGTAAAATTTTAATATGTATTCTATTATCTAGACATGACACGAGAATATCTTTAGAGAGTTTTGTCCAAACATATACCAAACACAAATATTTAAAGAAATAAAATTTTGAGTAACATAATGGACCAAATAAAAGCAAGCTTACCTGACCAGGCATGACTTCAGCATTGATGCCACTGATGTCAATGCCAGCATAAAGGCAAGCTTTGTAATGTGCGTCTACAATGTCTCGACCAAATGCTTTGTCTGCACCGACTCCGCAATAATACGGACCCTAAATGAATATGGATAACAAAACTTATTAAGATTAAGGGTAAATTTTAAATTTAGTACCTAAACTATCAGTTTTGATCCATTTTAGTACCTAAACTTTCAATTTCTTTCAAAACCACACTTAAAGTTTGCTTTTTGTTTTATTTTAATACCCGTTGTTAAAACTTAAAGCGTTTAGTACCTAGATCAAACATTTTTTTATCCGTTTTAGTACCTAAATTTTCAACAACAACAAAACAAAACTTAAGTATAATTTAGGTACTAAACATGTTTTGATACCTAAACTTTCATTTTATTTCAAAACTTATCGACGAGGTACTAAAATGAAACAAAAACTAAACTTTAGATATGGTTTTGAGAAAATTGAAAGTTTAAGTACTACAACGGATCAAAATTGATAGTTTATGTACTAAATGCATAATCTATCCTAAGATTAATAAGGATTCAATTCGGTTTAAAATAAAATTGTAGATTAATATATAACATTTTGGTTTTTAAAAAAAAAATCAAATAGAATGTTACAGTAATTGAATTGAATTCTTTTTGTTTTGATACAATCATTTTCATTATATAAGTAAATATAGAATTCGAATCAATTCCATCAATTATAAAATTGATTTGGTTTCGAAAAAAAATATGAAATTTTTTAGTTTTAAAATGTGATAAATACCTGTGGTCCGGGATACCCTCCGACTGGCCATCCGAGAGGCCATTTAACATCTTTCTGTAAAAGAGTGTACTCTTGCTCAATGCCAAACCTAAATTAATAGAGTAACAATAACTTTCATGATATATTTTAAAAACTAGATAACAATTAATTGAAACAATAGAGCGAGAAATGAGATTTAAAAGTTATTGATTCAATAAAATTTTAAAATTCATATTTTTAAATTGTATAATCAAATTTTAGAGATTATTTAATTATGAACTGTCAAATAAGACTTCAGTTATAACATTTCGCTTAAATTTTGTATGATTATCACCTAATTTGATCGAAATTAGAGAGGGAGAAAAAAGTTGCAATCATGCTCGACGTATGAACACTGTTGATCTTGGCAAAAGAAAATAGAATATTACCATGGCTCCTCCGCAACAACCTCAGGTTGGCTAAAGATCTTGGCAGCGTTAAATCTTTTGTTGGTCGGAATCGGGTCGCCGGTCGGCGTATATGCATCGCACATCACCTGTTTATGCAATTTTGTATATATACATACCTTCATTGTAAAATCCAAAAATATCCTTTCTAAATTAATAATAATAAAAAAACATGAATGAATTTGATTACCAAGATGCTCTTTCCTCTTCTAAACGGATCTCTGTATACCGCTTGAGGACTGATCTAGTAAAAATGCACAACAATCATCATAAATAATCCTAAATCAAAACTTGAAAAGTAGTAAATTAATCATCAAATCACGAAATTAAATAACGATTGGAACACAATATGAAAATTTGAACAAAAACGTACTATAGAATGACTTCGCTGTTGTCTCCGGTGGCCTGTTCAGTGCTGGAACCATCGTAGTTCCATCTCGGGAGTTTCGAAGGATCCGACTCCGGTCCGGGCAATGTCTATTCCGAACTCAATATATCACCATTTTGAATAAAAAAAACCATAAAATTCAACAAAATTAAAAGTTTAAACAGTAACACGCACCCTTGCTTTGCTCCTCATATCCATGCCGGAACCACCGATCCTGGAAATTACAGTTGAGAGGAATATCAAAATCTATTAGTAAATTAGTCTAAAACCTGTGTAAATACGAAGAAATTGAGAGCGGATTGAAAGAAAAAGAGAGCGAGAGAGGGATCGACCATATGTATTCAGCGATGATTTTCTCTGTGTTTTCACTTAGATTGAGATCAATGAGATCGTTGAGGAGAGACATTGTTGTTCGGCAGCTTTGTTTGCTCTAAGAAACTCAGAAAAACAAAAACAAAAATAAAAAACAGAGGACTTTGATCGGTGATCTTGAATAGAGAAATTAACGATTTTTCACTAAGGAAATGCAATTTTTTAGGATAGCTAAGATATCTATTAATAGATAATGATAACAAGGTTCATGCAAGTAACAACGCTCTTGATTTTTTTAATTAATCATTGATATTTGATTTATGGACCAAATAATTTAGATCGAGTACTGTTGGATAAGAACAATCCTTTCAATCCAGTTTACTTCATTCTCAAATATTAAAATTTAAACTTTTGATCTTACTTAAAGAATTTAGTGTCCTTCTCACTAGATAAATAAGTATTTATTTATTTTTAAAACAAAAATTAATCTATTAATTTTTGTTTTCTTTCTAAATGAACATTGTGAAATATCACTATAACAACCTTAATTTTAATACTTAAATAATTATATTTAATTAACTACTAAATTTAAAAAAATCGAATTGTTTTATTTATAAACATGTATTTATTTATATTTAAAATTTGATATAGATGCGAATTACAATTTAAATTAACATGTAAAAATTAGTGAGACAAAAGATGCTAGCTGTCGAGTGTGTACATATGACACACACACGCACATAATGACTCATGCATGAGCGGCAAAGAGTGAAGCGGCTCGGCCTTACAATCGTGGTACCATACGACGACCTAATTTAAAATTAAAAAAGATGTAATTAAAAATGTTTAAAATTTTAATATTTTCAGTTAAACGTAACTTAAAATGTTAATTTTTTAATATTTTTTATTGTCAACCGAAAATGTTATGAATAGTATATGGAACCAAAAAAATAAGAAAAAAGTTATCATTTTAAGCTGTGCCCAACTAAAAATGTTAAGATTTTTTTAATATTTTCGATTACGTTTTTTCTTAACCTTAATTTAGATTTACGTCTCTTATACATTTCCTACAACCGTATATGTGCATGTCAAATGAAAATGTTAAGACAAATTAATGATTGATTATATAATTAAGATAAAATTATGTATATTTAATATCATTATCGTTTAATGTTATATGTTTTTTTATTAAGATTAGGTGACTACAAAGTAATATTTATTTTTTAAATATTATAAACCATTTGACAATGAATACTAAATCACTCTTGTAGTCGCTAGTGCTCGATGACCTCTAGAAAGATCAACGATTTCTTTAACCACCGAGTTAAGTTGATTAATAGTAATGTTATATGCTTTAATTAAATGATTGATTGAGTTGATTAATTATGATTCATATGCTTATGATAATATAGCTAATTCAGAAAATAAAAGTATCGTATAAATTTTAAGTTATTGTAATGTTATATAATATATAATTTACACGACATAAAACTATTAACAATAGTAAACATATTTGATAGGGATATATAGACAACACTTTTGTGCTTTTATCAGCACTTTAATGCTTATGTTACATTCCAATATCTAATAATAATCGTAAGTATCAAATTGTTTCCTAAAGAGTTGATTGAGATATTCAGTGATAATAATGAACAGTTATATTGAAATTTTATTAATTTTATGTTGATCTTATGTTCGAGCATCAACAATTGCAAGAGTAATTGAATGTTCATTGTTAAATGATTGAAATTACTTAAAACATATATCTTTATAATCATCTTTAGCATAATAATAATAATAATAATAATAATAATAATAATAATAATAATAATATAATAATAATAATAATAATAATAATAAGCTAAGCAAATTTGGATTAGTGTAGGAATGTTACTATAACTCACCACTTGATATATAACCTTTTTAGTAGTTATTAAGGTATAATTTCTAAATTTATCCTTATCATTTTTAATAGTTATTTTATTTTTAAGCATTTAACTTTAAATATTTTAATTTTAATCGATTTTTAGATACAGATTGTTAATTAATTAACGATTAGTAATGTATATTTTCATTTGTGTTTTATTACTGATGTACCGTATATTTTATGTACAAGTGATATATATTACATCAATACTTATCCGTATAATATATATATATTTTAAATATATATTAAATCAATACTTATGTACATGTGATATATATCACATCAATAATTAATAACGTATTAAAATATCGTGTTACTAACAAATATTTATTTTTAATTAATTACTTGTTTTTATCTAAAGATAATTATTTTATAAAGAAAATAATGTTAAAATTAAAATGCTTCTAAATAAGCATAAGAATCAAAGTGAAATTAAGGAAAATTTTAGTATCATGCATTTTCTTAAAATGATAATCGCTTAAATTATTTTTAATAAATATCATTGTTGATGGTTGAATATTGTTACATGCAAATGCAAATATAAACTTATGATTTTATACCAATGTGCGTATAGATGGATGCCAAGTTTTATACTAAAAGATGGATTTAGAAAAATTAGAGAAGAAAGCATATTGTCAATGGAAAATACAAATAAAATTTATCTAAATCATAATGGCAAAACTTGGTGATAGAGTTTGGGAGGGACAACTTAAAATTTTAACAAATTTAGAGGTTTAAATTAAGATTTTTAAAAAAAATTAAGGGTTTAGTTTATATTATTTTCCAAAAAAAAGTAGGAGCTAACTACAATTTTTGAAAATCTAAGAGATTTAATGAGAATTTTTTAAAAATTATGAGATGAGGTTTAATTAAGAACATTAAAAAAATTATAATTTAATATGAATTTCTAATAATTATAGAGGGGCCAAATTAAAATTTTTCAAAATTTTAATGATCAAAATAAGAATTTTTAAAATTTTAGGGGCCATTGCCCTCTCTAATCTGGCTTATGTTTCGTCTCTGTTAAATCAGACGATGATTTAAAATTTTTAGAGACAACCAACCTCCTCCATCAATTTGTGAAGTGTAAATTTTTAATAAATTATATTAAGCGTCGCTATTAATCCATCAATTTTAAATGTAAAAAATTTAAAAATTCTATGAATATAATTTAATTAATACTTTTTCGATCCATTCTTAATTACATGATTAATATTATGTAAAATCATAATCTCTTACATCAAGTAGATTTAAATCTCACTAATAATATTTTGTCAAAAAAAATCTTACTTATAATAAAAAAATCTTTTAAATCTTTATATTTGTTATCATTCGATATTGTACAATATTAAAATATAATTAATAATTATTTAAAATGAATTTAATATATACTAACATTTTAATTTTAAATTGTTTTTAAAATTTTGAATTAATCACTAGTTTTCGATCTATTGATCGACTAATCCAGATCGGGTACTGCATAGGCTAGGACGATTATCTCAACCCATTTACTCTATCCGCAAACACCAAGGTTCGAACTCTGACCTTGCTTAAGCAATCTAGTGCCTCATTAGGGATGCAACGGGTCGAGTTCGAGCCGGGTATTGGTTCCCCGTCCCCGTTTAAAAAACCCGTACCCGTCACCGCTTAAAAAACCGCAGGGATTTAAACGGAGATCCCCATCGGATAATCGGGGAAAACCGCTGGGAAACGGGTATCCCCGTTTAGCATAAACGGTTATTTAAACGGGTATCGGGCCGGATATATATATATTTAAATTAAATATATAAATATTATATATATTTTAATTTAATTTAAATTTATTAATATTATATATATATATATATATATATAATAATTATTTTTAATATTTATCAGGTCGGGTATCGGGCCGAGTAATCGGGTAATTGGGACGGGGATTATCAAACCCGTCCCCGTTTAGCATAAACGGTTTTTCTCCATCCCCGTTTAATTCAGTTTTCGATTTTCCCCGTCGGGTTTGGGTTTTTTGCCATCCCTATGCCTCATCCAATATTAAACGAAATTTATACTTATAGATAATCATTTTTTAGTCTTACTTATAGATAATCATGAATAGGGGTGAACAAAACTCGATTCGACTTAAAAAATGATTTTCTCTCAAGTTTCGAGTTATTCGAGTCAACTCAAATTATCGATTCAACTTTCGAGTTTGAGTCGAGTTGAAATTTGGAAATTTTGAGTTACTCAAAAAACTGAAAATTTGATTGATTATTTTGACAGTTTTGCGATTCAGTCCATGATTTCTTTATTCCTTAATTTCCTTCTTCATTTTAAGTCTTATTTTTTTTTACCAAATTTGAACCACGTGGTCCTGAACCATAGTAGAATGCTTATGTGCTTTCAATTCATTTTATTGATAATATTTTCAAAATTTCAATTTAGTCCTCAACTTTTCATGATTTTTTATTTCTTCAACTCATCATTCATTTTAAGTCTATTTTTACCAAATTTGAATCACATGTTCTTATACCACTATATTATACCTATGTAACTTCAACTCATATTTTTTTACTAAAAAATATGAATTTTATTTAGTCCATTAACTTTGCATTTTACTCAATTTGGTCATTTGACTGCAATTATTTGCAAATTATTTATTCTCATCAATTTCTTGACTCTTTTATACTCCCATCAATACTTTACCCTCAAAATATTTTCTTTAAAATATAATATTATAAATATATTTTTATAATTTTAGATTGTATATGATATATTAAATAACATTTATAACGTAAAAAATATGAATATATATATATATATATATATATATATATATATGATTAAAGAAAATCGAAAAATTGAAATCAATCCTTATCAGAATAATATAAATAATTATAATAAAATTTGTATAGAAACTCGAATAATTCAACTCGAATTTCTTAAAATTAACTCGACTTGAAATTTTTTTAAATTAAATTTAAGTTACAAAATACTATTTATCAACTCAAATAACTCAAATTTTTTTAACTACACTCAACTTAATTAGGTATGATGATGGAATAGACAGTGGAGGATGTCACACGCGCAAATTCGGCCGCTATAGTTTGCGAACATGCAAAAACCCTAAAGCGACGTCTTTCGTATTCAGCGTACCAATAGAAACCAAAACTCTATATAATCCTCATTATCTCGACCGCCTCTTCTCACTCAAAACCCTAAACCCAAACCCCAAAAATATCTACCGAGTAGGGTTTTGCGAGTATTCTGCACCAAGCAGCCGTTTCTCTTTAGCCTCTCTCAAACCTCATAAAAGTTCTTAACCCACCTCTCAAATCTCTCTACTCTTATCCTATGGGGAAAACAAGCAAGAAATCAACCCCCAAAGTACTCTTTTTCTTTCATTATTTGTTTAAAATGGAAGTGTTGGTTTTTATGGATTATTTTTTCCTTTAAGCTCTTCATTTTGGTTTAATTTTGTGTTTCTTTTTCTTCATTTTTATAGGTTGAAGCAGCTCCTGCTGCAGTTGCTCTGTCTGGAAAGAAAGGTATCTAATTTATTGTATTCTTGTTCTGGGTTTTAAATTTTCAATCTTTTTCCTTTATGGTGTACAATCATGTGTTTTAAAGTTCAAAGATTTTCAGATTGATATGTATTGTGCGAGAGCCGCTTGTTTGTATGGTTTTGTTTTTTTCTTTCGTGTTTATGGAACTATGTGTTTTTTTCATCCTTTTTTATGGTTACATATAGGTAAGAGAGAATCTAAAGAGACTAATGAGAAGCTAGTGGCTGCCAAAAAACTGAAGAAAAACGACGGGGTAGCACAAGCTGTTGTAAAGGTCAAGGTTGAAGCAAAGACTCAGAAGAAGAAAGACGAAACCAGTAGCTCTTCCGATGACTCTTCTGAATCCGAAGATGTATGCAAAAACCCACTACTGTTTTAATTGTGATTCTACATTTGTTGTTTTTTGTTTTGATTTATGCTGACAGTTCCCTTTTCATTACATGCTCGGCTTTGTGTAGGTTTCTTTACATGAAGCAAATGAAGGGATGTTTGTGTTTGTTTTACCTAATTTTTGTTATTTGTTTTTCCTTTAGGAACCTGCTCCTGCAAAGAAACAGCCAGTTATTGCCAAGAATGGCTCTGTACCTGCCAAGAAAGCAAAACAAGCAAGCAGTTCAGATTCGTCAGACTCTAGTAGCGAGGAAGATTCATCTGATGAAGTGTGTATTATGCTTATGCTTATAACTTTTGTATGGTTGCATATGTATATATGATTGTTAATGTTCATTGTATTGATTTTCCAGGAAGCTCCTGCTCAGAGTAAAAAACCTGATGTTGCTGCAAAAGCCCCTGCTCCAGCTGCTAAGACAACGAAAGCTGATAGCAGTTCTGATGATGATTCTGACGAGGATGATGTGAGAATTGAAGCAAATGCTAAATATAACACGAGAATTACTAGAAAATCTCTTGACATTTATTGTTGTTTAATTTTGATTTAGGAGCCTGCTGCAAAAACAAATGTAGCTGCAGCTGCCAAAAATGGTACTGCACCTGTTAAAAAAGGTAAGGCCTCCAGTAGTTCTGAGGAAGATGAAGATAGCAGCTCAGAAGAGGATGAAGTAAGTTTTAGATTGTTTAATGATGTTCCTTTTTAATTTGATTTGGAGCTTTTGTGTTTGTAAGTTACAAATATACTATTTTGCATATGCTGGAAAAACCAAAGTCTGCTGCTAAGAAAGCACCTACTGCTGTTATTAAAAAGGAATAGAGTGATAGTTCAGAAAGTGATAGCTCTTCGGACGAAGATGACTTGAGTGTCGCAATGCTAGCGATGTTTAACTAAATGATTTTTTTATCCTTATGGATACGCATGTTAAGATTTTGTTTCATAATAAGACTGGGGGTCATTATTAGACTGTCTTTTCTATTGGTTTTGAATTAATATTAATGTTTATAATTTTGCTAACTGTATGTATACATATATAGACACCTGCTCCAAAGGCTGCTTTGCCCACATCTGCTGCAAAGACTGAAACTTCATCCAGTGATAGCAGCTCTGAGGAGGATTCAGATGAGGTGTGATATATTATTCATATAGTTCTCATTTCATTTTTATACTGTTCATATATTTTTTTATTGATTATGTTGATCTGCCCTAGGATGATAAGAAAGCAACTACTGTGAACAAAGCGGATGCTGCTCCTTCCAAGAAGGTTGAGGAATCCAGTAGTGATGGCTCTGATGATAGTGAGTCTGAGGATGAAGAGGTGTGCTTTAACTTTTGAATTAGATAAAATAACAGTTTCACTTTAGTTGCGGCACTTTTATTTTTTGTATTTGCTTCTCAAAATGTTTCTTTTGATTTTTCTTCTATCAATTTGCTAAGTTTTCTAATCTATATTTTGCAGCCTAAGGTTGCTTCAAAGGCTAAAGCTGTTAAAAAAGAAATCAGTAGTGAAGAAGAATCTGAGGAATCCTCTGATGATGAGGAAAGTGACGAAGAGAAAGCTCCAAAGAAAAATGTACAGCATCTTAGGAACTGTTTTTCTGTATATGCTTTTGGAAGCTTGATGTGATGATTGCCTAATGTAGTTGTTTACTTTTATATTTAAATCAGGATACAGATGTGGAAATGGTTGACGCTTCAACACCTGCCAAGCAGGAGTTGAAGTCTGTGAAGAAAGCTGTAAGTACATTTCCCTTTTGAATTTGCTTCAGAAGTTACCTCAATCTTGTTATTGATCATTTCATCGAGATGGTTGGATCTGATTGAAGCTTTTCTGCAGCCTCAAACGCCTGCTACTCCTCAAGCTACAGGATCAAAGACACTTTTTGTGGGAAACTTATCTTTTCAAGTTGAAGAAGCTGATGTGTATGTTTAGGTTCTCTAAATTGATTTTTTATGTATATAGATGTTTTCATCTTTTCTGTTCTTATATTGTAGAAAGAATTTCTTCAAAGATGCTGGTGAAGTTGTTGAGGTTCGTTTTTCCTCTGACCATGAAGGGAACTTTAAGGGCTATGGACATGTTGAATTTGCTACTGTAGAGGCTGCACAAAAGGTAGATTTTGTCGACTCTGTTTCTGAACTCACATGGATGTGAGATGGATAAGCTAAATCTTTTATATGTTTTCTGCAATGATCTCTTTTGCAGGCTCTAGAGTTGAATGGTGAGTATTTGCTGAATCGTGCTGTTAGACTTGATTTGGCTCGTGAAAGGGGTGCATATACACCGTACAGCGGGTAATTTCCCTACCTCACCATTGGAATTGGAGTATGTATATAACTCTTTTGGACCCTTGATCTAGTCCTAGTTGGATTGATGTGTTCAACTGATTTGCAGCAATGAGAACAATTCATTCCAGAAAGGGGGGAAAAGTCGATCTCGAACGATATTTGTCAGAGGATTTGATCAATCCCTCGATGAGTATGAGGTTAGTGGTTTGCTTTAAGTACTAGTCTTTTGTTGCTCTCTCCGTCCTAGTTTTTGAAATTTGTTTTGTCCGAAATATTTCCAGATCAAGAATTCCTTGGAAGAGCACTTCGGTTCATGTGGTGAGATTTCTAGGGTGGCCGTACCAACAGATAGAGAAACTGGTGCTGTGAAAGGGTTAGTATCTTGGAATTTTGATACAGTAGAAGTATTCTCGCTAGTTGCATAATGTATTCAGAAGTTGCATACCATATTTGTATACTGTATTCAACAGGATTTTTGAATTTTTGATACATTGCTAGTATTCTTGTGATTTTTTAGTGGTATATCTGATCATATGCAATCAATTGCAGTTTTGCTTACATGGATTTCAAGGATGAAGATAGTCTGAACAAAGCTCTAGAACTTAATGGTTCTAAACTTAATAATTATTCCTTGACTGTGGACGAGGCAAAACCGAAAGGTGATTTTGGTGGTGGTCCAGGCAGCGGAAGAGGTGGAAGGAGTGGTGGATGGAGTGGGGGAAGGGATAGCGGTGGACGCGGTGGTCGCGGTGGAAGGGATGGAGGCCGAGGTGGCAGGCGGGGAGGTGGTCGATTTAGTGGTGGCAGAGGTGGACGTGGAACACCTTATAATAAGCCAAACCTTGCTGCAGCTGGCACAGGTGCTCTTTATACTTCTGCTTTCCTTTTTCTTTTTATCTAATAGATAATTTATTAATCAACTAATTCTGATTGCAGGAAAGAAGACCACTTTTAACAATGAGGATTAATCAAGTGTGGGAGTTGGTCCCAGTGGCTCCTATGTTTAAATGTTTTTTGTTTAGATTATTGAACTCTTAATTATTATGTCGAAATTCTCACAATTTCAAGAGCCTTGTCTGTTTTAGTTACCAGTATTTTTCCCCCACAATATTAAGCCTTGTTGCTATCATCAATCGTCTCTTTAATCTCTTCGAAAATTTCTAATTAAATCTTCCAAAAATTAACAATTTTATTTTGATCCATAAAACGAAAGTTTGCCTTTTGCCCCTAGGCTGAATCAAAGGTGTTGGTAGCTGAGCAGTGAAACCTTGGCTTGGGGATCTTCCTGAACGTAAACAAAACTGCACTCGGAGCCCGGTTTCAGCACCCTAAGCCATTGTGGAAGCCTGTAGGTATTTTTAACTGTCGTCGGTGTCAGCCCCGATATCGACTCTGTCAGTTCTTGAACCATAAATTTAACGTCCGTTATTGGCTTTTGCAAGGTGTTCTTCATTGTCACCTTGTGTCAATACTGGCTCACCTGAACAATTGCGAAACGAAATGATTATCCTAAGAGAGAGAGTTGGGAATGTTAAGATTTGAATTTCAAGCACAAGCAATGGTGTTCATTTTTTTTTTCTATTACCTGATGATGCCGAGCTAGGAACCGGCGTTTGCCGGCAATTGTACGCTGTGAAATTAAAAAAACATGAACCTTGATTAGATGAAATTGGAGAAAAAGTAACAAAAAATGAAAATCCTTTGCTTACTTTGTGTTGGTTGTTTATCTGTTGTCGATCCTCCATGGTTCAGTTCTGTAAGAATTTAAGTTAAAAACAGTGTAAACTTAAAGAAATTGAACTATCATTATCGTTGTCGAGTTATTATTGTTCTTGTATTTCCGTATAGGCTTTCGAGCTTAGAGAAGAGTCCAACAAGAGGAGCAGAGGCAGAAATTGTAGGCTCTGTTTACTCATAATTTGAACGTTCATCGTTGAAGTTATCATTCCGGTCTGGCCCTCCGACTAGAGCTCCATGTATTACATTTGGATCTGCTTCACGTCGTCGATACCAGGCATCAAACCCTTGGACGCAGCTCACTGGTGATGGAAGAATCGAGATCGAGGCGATCGATGCTCATCTGTGGTGGATGTGGGTTGGGTATTTTGGTCCGTAGCCAACTATGTAGCTCATTGACTTGGGATTTTTTTCGTAAAATGTAATCAGCCTGTGCAACAAATACAAGCAATATTAGAACCTATATATGTAGTTGGTTGGGTTTGTATGCGAGTGTCGAATATAAATATATGCGATGTTTCGGGTTTAGTAGTACCTGAGACTTGACGAAATCCAGGATGTCGCGAGAGTTAACTTGGCCAACGGGACAAGTGAGTTTGGCATTTGCAGCCGAGAGATAATCAGAATAAACAGCGAGAAGAAATGAAGCAGCTGAGGCATATTGCATATTGTTCCATTCATGCACATACATCACATCTCCGGTAAACAAATATTTGAGCAGTCGAAGATTTAGATTACGAGTCTTAGCTCGGTTATCATGTTACAGTAACAACATTTGCAGGAGACAGCTGGATGTTGTAGCCGTCATTCTTTTGCAGACAAGCACAAGCGAAGTAATCTGCTTTGGCCTGATATTGCTTCAATGTCGAAGCGTACGCACCACCTTTTTTCTCCATTAATACCTGCCATGGCAACACCGATCTTTAAACGTTCGTGTAATCTTTTATATGTTCGGAAGTCCGAGGATAAGGGAATGGTTGTAGATGTTAAGATTCGAATAATCTTATTTTACCTTAGAAAGAAGGATTTGCACATCAGCGTACTTCTTGTCCCAAGAGAACTCTTTGACAGCCAAACCAGTTCCACCCATGTATGCACCATTGTCCACAACATACTTCAGATATTGCTCCTCGCCGGTTGCTCGGTATAGCCATGAGTCCATGACGCAGCCCACAATAGTTCATCCTTCAAACAGAAAAAAAAAAACACGATGAGAAAAAGCCGATTTCCGTGCCTATAGACGATCATGGATTCTCTATTACTCACCGAATAACCCGACGATTTATAAAACTGCTTAGCACTCGGTATGGAATCGTCGTTTAGGCCTCTAAATAGATCCGCGAACGAGAAAAGCTGCAACGTATGAAGATCTGAAAGTCAGAAAATGCGGGTTCATTTTTGTGAATAGAATTGTTAAGATAAGTAGATGTTCTTTACCTGTTTGGCATGAACTAGGAGATGATCAGAGTAGGAAGAGTGTAAGGCTTGAAAGCCATCGACGATGCAGCCAAAGCAGCAGCAGTTTCACCGGCAAGGTCCGAGCCGGGATGGTCCTGGTCGAGCTTGAAAGCGGTTCTCGGAGTCGTCATGTCCTCGGCTCGCTCCCAACAGTAGTGATCGGAATTCCCATCGCCAACCTGATCAGACCATACAACATAAATTAAATATCCTACGTTATTCGATTACTTGTACGACATCCAAATCCGAGTAACATAGGTTCGTACCCAACTTTAAAAATTTCTGACCCTTAATTTTTTTAAAAATGTTAACTTGGCCCCTCCAAAGTTTTTAGAAATTCAAATTAAATTTTAATTTTTTAATGTTCTTAATTAAACCCTCTACCATAATTTTTAAAAATTCTCATTAAGACTTTAAAATTTTCAAAAATTATAGTTAGACCCTAATTTTTTTGGAAAATATATAAACTAAACCCTTCAAAATTTTTAAAAATTTTAATTTAAACTTCTAAATATTTTAAAATTTTAAGTTGATCTCAACCTCTATCATCAAATTTCGCCACTGTTCGTACATGTACCCAAAGAACATTAGACTCAGTGTGAGCCTTGATGAAGTAGTCAGTGCCCCATCTGATTGCCCACAAAGCATGTCCCATCTGGTTTAAATCGGTAATCTCCTTTCTATATTCAATAGTACCCCATGCAAGCATTGTTACATTAAATGCCAACGGCAGTCCAAACTTCACATGATCCCCTGCATCATAGTATCCTCCTACCAAATCCACATTCTGAAGAGACCCTCTTTGAGGCCGGAATCGCCCCGCCACTTGACACGGCAGTCCGACAATAGCTTACCGGACCTTTGTGCCTCGAGAAACATGAAGGTCTTGTCAAGAGCTTCACCATAGTTGGACTTGGCCTCCGCCGCCGCCATAATGGTAAGTAATCCGACCAGAATAAGGCAAAGACCAAAGTTCAAGGTTTTCATGATTGCCTCAAAATTGAGATATACAAAACATAGCTGTGGAACATTGGTTGTTTTTATAGGAAAACATGTCTGAGAGATTTTGTTACGTGGTGTCTGGTGATAGTGGTAGGCTTCACGTTTTAATTCTAAGATTTTCTAACAAATCAAGTAGAGCTTCTCACGTCGAATATTATATATATACTTTTATTTATTAATTCTTAAAAGTTGACAAATGATAGAGTCCATGATTCATTGGGTACATCTAGGAATAGGCACGGGACCTGAACCCGATAGGTTTCAACCTGATCCGATCAGATCAAATATTTTTAAAAAAATATTTATAATTGGGTCGGGTCAAGTTTTTTTAGAGGTTATGTTTGGGTCGGGTTTAGGATGAAAAAAATACTCGACTCGACCCAACCTGAAAAAAATATAATTTTTTCTTATATATTTAAGGATAATTACAATAATATCAATCTCTATATATTTTTCAATTAAATTCCTATTTTTATTGAATAAAAATAATATTTTTTATTAAGTATATTATTTTGGGTCAGGTCGGAACCATCCGATTGTTAGGTGATAGTATAGCCTAGCCAACATCAGACCATTGTAATTTTTAATTAGCTTTTACTAATAGAAATGAATTGCCAATATTAAAATTTAAAATTTAAATTGTAATTGAGGTTGAGAAAATTGGATTAGCTAATTTATTCAAATGTAATTTTTTTTTTAAAAATAATTTGAATGTTAAATAAACATTAAACCAGCGGCAGAACACAAGAGGAACTAGTTGGGGCTATGGTCTCCCAAGATTTAAAAAATTATAATTTAGATCCTTAAATTTAAAAAAAAATTAATTTAAACCCCACAAAATTTTTAGAAATTCAGATTAAACTTTAGATTTTTTTAATGTTCTTAATTAAATCCCCTCTCATAATTATTTAAAAATTCTCGTCTCTTAAAATTTCAAAAATTTTATTTATACCCTAATTGTTTTTTGAAAAAAACATAAACTAAACCCTTCAAAAAAAATTAATTTAAACTTCTAAATCTTTTAATATTTTAAGTCGACCCTCAAACTGTATCAACAAGTTCTGTCATTGCATTAAATATAACAAATAATTAATATATATATATATATATATATATAATGATTTTGTATTTACTAGTTTAAATATATATAATAACTTGGAAGAAGATTCGAGTGTGTTAGATACGAATATATTCAAAAAAAAAAGAAAAAAAAGAAATAGTTCAAAGGAATAACAAATACTTTAGACATTGTATAACAATCTATGAAAATCTTTCAAACTTTCCCATATGAATCTCTTATCCGTTTCTTATTGTTTTCATTAGCCCCACCATCGTTGATGCAATCAAATACCATGTGATCCCTGCTAGAATAACCTGTGACCATGAGCTATTAACCATTGTTAGTGCCAATGAGCCGCCTACGTGCTCGGTTATTTCTCCGGCCACTCTGTCTCCGACTTGCAGTCGAACTATAACAGCAGCAACCGTTGCAGCCACCATTGGGATTCCCCATTCCATCGAGCTTCTCGTCCTCCTATCCTTTTCGTATCTCCAGTTGTCCACTTTGCTGCTCTCGGTTGTTTTCGAAGGCTTCGATGCAACTCTGGAGGTGCTGTTGTTTTCAATTGAAGCAGGAAGAGCTTGTCTTGATGGGAGCCAATACTCATCGTCGTACAAATAACTCGACGGGACTCGGGTTCTAGTCGTTCTCGGACTCTCTCTTGCTTGTTTTCTAGCAGCAGCAGCATCACGGAGTTTGTTGATGTTCGGTTCAGATGACTTTTGGGAAATGCGTATCAAGTTTAGTTCAGATCCGGTTGCTGGTGCTCCTGCATTGGGTGATTGCCAATACCACCATCTCGAAATCGATTTGATCGCGTTAATCGCCGACATCCTCGCTTCTCGACGACAATCCGCCTCATGAAATAAACAATGGAAAGTTAGTTTCAACATTCATTTCCTTGAAAACAGAGTATTTATATCAATTGGTCCATACGTCGGATGCATTAGTAGCAGCTTTGTCCACGGCATCAAAGTATCTGGTCTGAAACTTCTTCACATCAACAAATATGTTCGAGACACGGGCACCAACCGTATTTCCGACACCGACTCGAACATTGCCTCGAGGTTGCTTCGACATTAAAAATTCGAGCGCAGCGAGCTCCGATCTCTCCACAATGCTGGAAAATAATAGAGTAAGAGAATATGGAATCCAGAAAGCAATTTCAGGATCAAGAAGCTCACGAAATGCAATCAACAGGGCAAGCTTCAATAGCTTCGACGATTTTATGTTCGGAATCGGCCCATTGAGCGACGACTCGAGCTCGGCCATACACGGACTCAATAGCAAACGTTTTCTCGGCAAACAAAGCACATTTCAAGCAACCAACACACTTGATTTCGTCAACAAACACAGCTCGTCGTTCACTTTCAGATCCGAGCCACACAGAGTATAAAGGCTTCCCTGTATATCCCCTCAGCTCGGCCATCTTTGCTTGTTCCTGCACTTTTCAAGCATTCTCAATCTTCAGACTCTTATAACCAAGGCAAGGGCTGTAAACGAGCCGAGTCGAACTCAGTATTATTGAGATCTATTAAAATTTTCAAACTCTACTCAACTCGAAACCATGGATTAAAGGTCGAAATAAAAAAAATCTTATACTTCACTCGATTGAAACTCAAATTCGAATCTGACTATTAAATACAAGAAAATTTTATATTGCAATTTTTTTAAAAAAAATCAGAATGTTAATATTATTAATAATTTAATTTTTAAAAAATAAAATTTTAATATACTGTTTTTTAGTTGCTGAGAGCTTCTCAACTCGAACATCAAGTAGTTCATTTTAGTTCGTTAAGAGCTCGAGAGTCCATTCGAGTCGAGTATTTGTCGAGTTTCGATCGAGTTTATCTCAAATAGTTAACAATCTATTTCGTCTAATTTACAATCCTAATCAAGACAATCCGAGTAACTTAAACCGCAAGAAACAAATAAAACGAGTAGCTTAAACCACAAGAAACGAAGAAAAGAGTAACTAACCAACCTTATCATAAGCCAAACGAGAACCGAGATCAGACAGAACCGAATAAGCTTCATTAAGAACGATAGCCATATCATGCCCCGTTGGTCCGGCGATATCAGGGTGGCAACGCTTCTGCAACGAACGGTAAGCCGTTTTGATCTGGGATTGATTGGAGGAGCTATCGATTCCCAGAAGATCATAGAGATCGAAATCGAATATCGAAGAAGTCGTCGAATTAGCCGAAGCTTTGCACACCAAAGACCGATGACGATGATGACGACGACGACATGAAGGCAATTTCTTGGTGCCGAGAGAAGACGGCTTCGGGGTTAAGGTGGTGTTAATGATGGAAGTTGCAGAGGTGTACAAAGGGAAACATGTTGCAGGCATTGTTATTGAGTTGGTTGTGTGCTTTTGATCCAAAGGAAAGGGATAAAATAGAGCATGGAAGAAAGAAGATATTTTGTGATTTGATAAGATATTTGTTGGAGATTGGATATTTTCTCCCATATTGTTGGGACTGTCGGAAGAGTTCAAAAAATGAAAGGGATTCTATCCGGTTGCCACGTTGACGTTCAATTATTATTTTGGGTAAATTACAAATTTGGTAAATAAACTTTACTCTCTCTCCTATTGCAGTTATTACATTTTAAATCTTTTTAATTTTCTCACTGAAATTAATACATTTAGTATTTTTGGTCACCCAATCATTTTCTCACTAACAGCAATATAAATGGGTTGTTATAAAGATGCAAAATGACATCGTTTTGGTGAAACTTTTTTTTTAAAACGGCATCGTTTTAACTCCGTTAACTATTTAACGACAAAGGGACAAAAAACCAAATATATTAAGTTCAGTGAGGAAAGTGAATTTTTTTAAAGTTCGGTGAGCAAAATATGAGAGAGTAAAGTTTAGTGATGAAGTTTGTAATTTACACTATTATTTTATTATTTAAAAATTATTTAATATTATTTTATCTAATTATAAGATAACATAAGAATTCTTATAAATTATATTTTAATAAATTATTTAATTTTAATATTTTATATCAAAATTTGGTAATCACCTTACATGCATCTGCAAAAAATGTGTCGTCTGTTTTTCTAAAAAAAATTAAATAATTTATTGAATTATTTTTACACTTAATAGAATTCTTAAAATAAAAATTTAAATCAATTTTAATCGTTAAATCTTAATATTCTTTTCTGAAATGTTATCAACGAGTGACATTATAGTTCTGCGACTTGTCACGTGCCATCAAATTCCCCCTCATCGTCATGGAGATCATTGAAATCATCACCATGTAAATAGCTACCAGCTTCCCAACTTCCATAATCACTCCCATCATTATTCAAGCTAAGCATCATATATGCCCTTTCCTACATAAAAACATTTACAATAAGCAAATAAAAAATATATATTACACGTAAATCACAAAGACTCAAACAAAATTTAAACAAAAAAATACCTGTTCTTGGAGGGTACGAGCAAGAGCCAGGTCAGCATCGACCTGCTGAGATCACTGAAAGGAGTTCTTGTAGTCGATGACCGCCGTTCATCATTTTTACTTTCACTGCTCGCATTTTCGTTGTCTTTAACATTAGGATTTGATTCTTGCTCTTTATGTTCGGTCGACATAACTTTAGCCTCGCACTGGAACCAACCGCCGCCGATTCCGGTTTGGTTCGGAGAAAAATTCAACGATCGGAGTTTAGAAACGGCGGTTCACAGAAAATACAAAATAGAAGAGATCGAAGCGGGGATAATTGAAGAATCTAATTTAAAAGATAGGAGAAAAGGAGATGAATGAACAGAGACGTTGTATATGTAGCAGAGTTCCTTTCTTGCTTTGGTACCCTTTTTCGTTTGATTTGAAAGGTGAAACAAACACTTCCATAACGTTAAAGAAAAACAATTAGGGTTTAATGGAATATAATATTATTGTTATTTTTTTATAGGGTAAACTATATGTTTAGTACCTAAATTGTCAATTTTAATCCGTTTTAGTACCTAAACTTTTATTTTTTCAAAACCATACCTAAAATTTATTTTTTTGTTTCATTTTAGTACCCATCGTTAAGTTTGAAAAAAATAAAAGTCTAGGTACCAAAACATATTTAGTACTTAAATCATACTTAAGTTTTGAAAAATTTTAAAAATTTAGGTACTAAAACGGATCAAAAATTGATAGTTTAGGTACTAAACGCCTTAAGTTTTTGACGATGAGGTACTAAAATGAAACAAAAAATAAACTTTAGGTATGATTTTGAAAAAAAATGAAAGTTTAAGTACTAAATCAGACCAAAACTGATAGTTTATGTACTAAATGCATAATTTACCTTTTTGTATTTGTTTTTTGGGTAAACTATGCATTTAATACATAAAATATCAGTTTTAATCCATATTAATACCGAAGCTTTCAACCTTTTTAAAATCATACCTAATAATTAGTTTTTATTTCATTTTAGTACCTGTTAAAAACTTAACGTTAAGTTTTGAAAAATTTGATAGTTTAGGTACAAAATACGTTAAATTTTTAATGGCAGTACTAAAACGAAACACAAATTAAACATTAGGTATGTTTTTGAAAAAATTAAAAGTTTAGATATTAAAACAGATAAAAGATATAGTTTAGATACTAAACACGTAGTTTACCCTAATTTTTAGAAGGCCCGAAATCTTGGATCTTAAAAGGCATTCTCATGAGTCCAATAAGGTCTACACTCTTCCTCCAGTTTCACATCCTTATGACTCTTTTAGTTGAGGAGACTAGTTAAAATTAACTTTAGGGTAAACTATCTCATTAGTGCTTGAATTTTAGTTTATGCATTAATTTAGTAACTAAATTTTAATAAATTTCAAATTTACTACTAACCTTTCAATAATATCTTTGTGTGTGTGAAACTATGTAGCCATTCTCTAAAAACCCTAGGAATTCTAAATCATATATTAAAGTTAATTGTATAGTTAAGTATATTTAAATCCATGATGTTTAAATTATTATAATAGTACTAATATTGATGAAACTAAAATTTAGGCATTAGATTTTTTTAAAAAATGATTTGAATAATTACGAGATAATATTTGTTTATAATATTTCTTAAATATTAACAATACATACATTTTACAAATGCAACTACTCAAACCCATGATCTTTAGGTAGAATAACATTTCCCTCAATTATTGAGGTCGCTTGATGAGTTCTATTAAAAAATATTTATACATTATAAAATTAATATAATTAAATTTGGATGAAATTCGGGTAGAGAGAGTATATTTTTTGAGTTAATTCAAAAAAAAATCGTAAAAAATGTGAATATGACCTAACTTGATGCTATCATTTACAAAATTTCATTCGAACTCAATTTTTTTTTATAAAATCGTCTTATCAAATGAGATCAAATCAAAATCTATTGAGTTTGAATCGAATTATCATCTCTAAGGTATTTTTTTAATTTTAAAAATACTCCATTTAAGTATAAAAAATCCATATGTTATCTTAAGATTTTTTAATTAATGATACAAAAGATTCGTATATAATTAAATTTTTAGGTTTGTTTAATTAAAAAATAAAAATCAATAGTTAATGTTTCATTTATAAAAAAATTATTTACAATCCCATAATTTTTAATATTGAATTTATGCTATTATGAAACTAAAACAAAAGTTATCATGGGTTTATGATTCGATCCAATTCCTTTTTCTAAAAATAAAAAATAAAAACTTGTGAAATAGGGTTCGGGAGATTTAGGATTTGGATTTTTATCTTACGTTGTCAATTTTTGCAATCTATAGGTTTCTCTTTAGAGAGAAAGGAAACTATTAGCTGAAAGAGAAAGCAGAATAATGGCGTCGTCAAGAGGAGCAGGAAGTCAGCAAGTGATTAGAATGGCGGACTTGGAGAAGATGAGCTTGGATCAGCTCAAAGCAGTGAAAGAACAAGCTGCTATCGAAGTCAATCTCTTACAAGACAGCCTTAACAACATCCGCACCGCCACCGGCCGCCTTGAGAACGCCTCTGCCGCTCTCCACGACCTTTCCCTCCGCCCCCAAGGTCCATCCTTCATCCAATCTTCTATCGAATCACCTACTTTCATTTCCCTTTTTTTAGTAATACAATTTTTGTTTATTTGTTTCGACATTTTTTGGGGCTTTAGAAAAGAAAATGTTGGTTCCTCTCATTGCTTCGCTCTATGTTCCCGGCACACTCGACGAGGCTGACAAGGTTCTTGTTGATATCGGCACCGGATACTTCGTTGAGGTCCCTATTTTATTTTTTGTATATTGATTTGAGAATTTTCTTCCTCATATTTACTGCTTTCTTCAACCTGCTGGAGTATGATCTAAATTTCCCTTGTTTGTTTCGTGTTGAAATTTGTTTTCGTAGAAAACTATGGCTGAAGGCAAAGATTATTGCGAGCGTAAGATCAACTTACTGAAATCCAATTTTGACCAACTTATTGAGGTACCCTTACCTTTATTCTTCTCCCGCATTATTTCCTTCAACTTAATGAAATTTTCAAATCCTAGACCTGCTAGATATTAGAGGTGGATACATGAACTAATTAGACTTAAGGTCGGGTTTTGTAGATACTTGTTAGGTAGTTGTTCCCTTGACTCTATTGCTTTAAAAGCTTTTGACATCGATGCTGTTAGATGGAAAACCTCATTGTGGAGAATGGTTGTTTTCTCTTTTTTTCGTACACTGCTGGTGGATACATCTTTGTTGTTCCTCGTTGCTGGATGATACTAAGCTCTCCGGCATTCGTATTATAGACTTGCTAGATATCACCTCTTAAAGTTAGACTTAGACCGGGATCATGGATAGTAGTAAGATGTTCCTAGATTTGATTGCCTTATTAATTTTGTCAGATTGAACACCTCGCCTGGGGTTGGATTGCGTTCTGTACACGTGCTAGTCGAATACATGTTTGCCATTTCTCATTGCAGGATGGTACTAATTAACCTTAATTAATCAGGTTGAAATGGATTTCTTTCACTTTAATATTCATGTTTTCTTTTGGCAGACAAGATTTTGTTGCCTATGTTATTCGAATATTTTCTATTTATTGTCAAGGATCTCTTCTCGTTTGTGGTAATGGTTGTTAAGGATCTCTTCTCGTTTGTGGTAATGGAACTGTTTGATTTAACATGTAGGTTGCATCCAATAAGAAAACATTAGCTGATGAAGCTGGATTAGTTTTACAAGCAAAAATGAAGAAGTTATCTCCTTCCAGTTAGGCATTGCGTGACCTTGGAAGCATCTTATTATCATTAAGATCTGAAGATGTTGCGAACCGGAAGTTGGTGATGTCAAACTTCAACCTTCTTAATGCTTTCATTTCTTATGATGGTTAGAGACAATCTTTCCGGTTCGTAATATAAAGAAATCGGTTCTTTAGAGATGCATACTAGGTATATTTCTAACAACTTTAGATTCCAACGAATTTCTGAATATTTTGTGATGTTTAAGTTAAAGATATGTTGATTGAATTTTAACCAATTCTCCATCTCTTTCTCTTCCGATATCGATCAGATTTCAACACAAATATGGCAGGCCTTTCCGGCATTTCCTACCTTTCGTGCTGTATCTTACCGAGTTGATCGTATAGATAGGTGTCTTAGACATGAAATTTAGAGGCCGTGTTGTTTGGTTTCTTTGTATCTGATTGATCTTTTAGGTTTCCAATATTGTTGGAAAGAAGAATCCCTTCACTTCATTATATAGGATATCATGAAGCAGTGACAGTTTCGTAAGGGAAGTGTCGGACACGGACATGGTTTCGGCATAGCAGATTATGTGTTGGACCGATAGGGATGGGCATGAGGCGGGTTGAATTTTTCGCTGCCCGGGCCTCAACCTGAAATATTACTTATTCCATTTGAACCTAATCTGCCCCGGAAACTAATGTTATAACATCTGTCTCGAACCCGTGCTTGAAATTTGGATTTATTTCTTTCGTTTGAAAGATCACAAATATATGTAGGGTAATTTTTAACTGGTCTAGGTATTTATTTTATCCTCCTATTTTTGCGAAAATTTCAAAGTTACCATTTAATTTATTAGAACTCGGAATTCATATTCTAATTTTTTTTTAAATAATCTAATTGAGTAATACTGTTAAATTTTATCATTAAATCTTAGACCAAAAATTCATTTGTTGAACGATTTCTATGTAAAAATCTAATACAATAACAGTTAAATAATTTAAACAATAAATACATCAGATACTATCAAACTTTAGGCATTGTATTGATTATACCACTGAATTTTTAATTTTACCAATTATAGTATTAAATTTTGATTTTTGTTTCAATTATACCATTGAATTGTTAAATCGTTAGCGGTACGATGATATGGCTGATGGAAGCCGACGTAGTTGACGACTGTTGATGTAGACATCTCAAAAAAATGATATCATTTGGATTCGGTTGTTAACAATTTAACGTACCAGTAGCATATTTGAAGCGAAAATCAAAATTTAATACTATAATTAGCAAAACTCAAAGTAACGATAGAACGTCTAAACTTTGGTGCTACTTGGTGTAGTTAACCCTAATTTAAAAATAATAAAATAATAAAAATCAATAAAGAAACGACGCCGTTTTATTAGATTAACAGCAAAGGGTTTTGGGTTTAGAAGAATTTTTTAGCCCGTTCTTTGTTGAGCTCAAGCTCTCTCCTTCGTCCTCCTCGAGCTTCTTCTCCAAAACACAACCCATGTGGTACCTATGCGTATTTTACCACAGACTTCTCGATTACAGAAAACCTGAATTCGAGTCTTTGGCCGATCTGTTCGGAGCTTTCGGGGACAAGGGGAGCTCCGATCCCCATTCCCAGGACAAGGCTCTACAATGGCGGCTTCCTAAAGGTCACCACCCTGATTCCCCTTTCCATTTCGTTCATTTACCTTCCGAAGATATCGCCAGGAACATCGCAAACCGAAGTAAATATACAGACTTCTCTCTCTCCTTTTCTCCTTTTGGCTACTAAAATGGGTTTTCGAGGTTGAAATCACCCCTTTGCTTGGGATTTTGTAGGTCTACTTGTGAAGGGAATTTATGAACTTTGGGGTGAAGGAAATGACTATGAAGAACTTGAAGAAGCCGTGAAAAGCTATCCAGATGACCGGAAGTTGCCTTATTTGACGCCTGGATGTACATTCAAGATTACTGTTGATAGTTTTGGGAAAGTATTGAGCCTTCAGGAACAGAATGAACGGATTCAGGGGTTCTCTTATATCCCCTTCAAGGTATGGTTAATAGATTTCCTTCGAAAATGTTAATGGATAATTTGCTCTAGGAAGTTTGAGTTTCAGCCTGACTTGGAATTTGTCGCTTATAGCTCAACTCGAGTTCGATCTCTTTTCGTTATTATAGTTTAAGTTCAATTCGATATAAAATGCTAGATTAGGATTGTTGGCCTCATTTCCAATACTCGACTTTTAAGTTCAATTATTTGATAAATCGAACACCAAATCGAATAGCTTGCTACTACTGCTGTAGTTTAAACCAAAGCATGTGATCAACATGTTTGCAGGGTCGAGTTAATTTAAAGAATCCTGATCACAATTTTTGGCTAATGGAAACTGATGCACATGAAACGAATAATGGGCTTCCACCAGTCGTTCAAAGGAGAATATTTTTTGGCAGGGAAGTTGGTGTAGCTGGCAGGAAACTTATACCCATGTATCAATTGAAAACTCGAAATTACCTTGGCCCAACAGCAATGGATGCAGAAATCGCTTTCTTAATGGCCAATCAAGCTCAGGCTGCGCCTGGGAAACTTGTGTATGACCCTTTTGTTGGCACTGGGAGCATTCTTGTTTCTGCAGCTCACTTTGGAGCAATGACAATGGTATTGCATTTTCTCCTTGAACTCATAAGCAACATTTGTGCAATAACTTTGTTCTATTGATTACTTCTTGGATTCTTTCAGGGTGCCGATATCGACATTAGAGTAGTGCGTGATGGTCGTGGTCCCGACTGTAATGTCTGGAGTAACTTCAAACAGGTGAATGTGCCACATAATAAGCAATTCATATTTTTGTTTTTGATTTTATCTGTCTGCAATAGATGTGCTTGAGATTATATATATACTTGTTTGCTGCTCTGTAGTATGGATTACCAATGCCGATTGGTTTATTGAGGGCAGATAACAACCTTCCTCCTTGGCGTCCTGGATTAAAGGAGGTAATTGCTTTTAAAGTTGCTTGCTGTTGAATATGTCAGTGTATTCTTAATTCTTTTGAATTCGATAAGTCCTTTCGGTATTGTTTTGTTCGAAAAACATGCACACAATCACACACGGACTGACATTGCATGTAGATTTACTTTTGCTTATTTTGCCAAGGCATTTTAAGGAACATTGGTCTTATGAGATTTAGCCTAGGAAAGGAGGGCTCATGCTTCAAAGCAACAATTGAGTGACTAGAGAGGATCTTTTGAAGTTTTTAGAAGAGATTATTGTGGTTTGTCACCTTTTCAATGCTTTTTTGATTTTAAGTATATTTTCTTTTGTTTTTCTGCATAGATGTTTGACGCAATAATTTGCGATCCCCCATATGGTGTTCGAGCTGGTGGACGTAAGTCCGGGGGTCGAAAATTGCTCAAGGGGATTGTTGGCCCTTACACCGTCCCAGATGACAAAAGGGCAGACCATATACCGTCAACTGCTGCTTATACCTTAGTTGAGTGTGTGCATGACTTGCTTGATCTTGCTGGTAGGATGCTCGTAATGAATGGCAGGCTCGTGTTCTTCTATCCCGTGTTGAGAGAAGATGGTTATGTAGAGAACCATTTCCCAGAACATCCTTGTTTCAAGTTGGTTGCTACTTCGGAACAGATGCTCAGCTCGAGGTACAGTCGTGTTTTGCTCACCATGGTGAAGACATCCTCGTACACCGAGGAAGTCTCTTTGGCAGCTAGGATAAAGCATTTGGAGTTCAAGGAGAATCATCTCAAATGGTTAGAAAATGGTAATCTCCATTCTTCTGTTTTCAGTCCGGCAGACACCGAATCAGGTGATTCAAAAGCAAGTAAAGAATCAAAACCTAAATACAGAGGGAAATATGTCTAGTTTTACTCCTGTTTTGGGCTAATTAAAGGACTATGAACTCTTTTCCTATGGTTACTCATCTGTCACTTATATTTTATTTCGAATGATCGATAATTTTTCATTGTTTAGTTGTATTGAATTTTATTGTTATAAAATCGGGTTAGATTCAGATCGACCAAAAACTCGTCCTAACCTGCGTTATTTCCGTACATATATATTATAATATTTTAAATACGAATTTTAAATATTAATTATAATAATGATTATAATTAAATTTATAAGATTTAAATATATGAATCAACTTGACTTTAAATTTTAAAATAAACCCATTTTTATAAAATTAAAAATAATTAAAATGTAATTAATTGATTATGTCAGTTAGGATTTTGTTTTCGAAGTTATGATTATTGGATTAGGTATCATTAATATTAATAAAAATATCAAATTTATTATTATTTAATTAGGTTTAATTGGATTGGATTGTAGGAATAAAAAATAGTAAACTCCTTAACTTAATCATTTTTCCACTAAATTTAACAATACATATATATTAATTACAACACCGGATAATTATACTCAAAATTAATTATAATATATAATCATAACCAACATAATCTTTAAAAATTAAACATAAATCTCGAACTCATATATAATATTAAAAATAAGGGTAAAGTACTCAAATGGTCCCTCAACTATTAAAAGTTACAAAATAGTCACTCAACTGTTCATTATATTTTAAAATCGTCATTTTCTATTAAATATCTTACGGTAAGTGTCATTTGATAAAACATATTTACCATATAAACAGAAGTTAATACTAGTATGTATGCACAACTTTTTTCAATTTGATTCTGGATAACTTTTAGGGTGCGTTTGATTCACGGAATATAAGATTACCAGTGGGAATGTAAGATTACCAAGGAATAGGATTACTGAGAATGTTGTATTTTGTGTTTGGTTGACTTAGTAGGAATGTAAGATTACCGTGTTTAGTTAAAGGAATAAAAAATTATTAGAATGTATATTTGACCAAATTGTCCTTATTATATATTTGTGTAATATTACAAGTTGGAAAATATTTATATATTTTCTTTAAAAAAATTAAATTTATAATATTTATATATTTTTTTACAAAATTAAATATAAAAAAAAAAGTTTAATGAAAGGGTAAAATTTTATTTTAACCCTTGAACTTCATATAAAATTTTAATTATAGATTTTTTTATAAATCTAAAATAATTTAAGGATAAATTTGTAATTTAACATTCGTAAAATTTTTATTATTCAATGACAAAAGAAATATATTTTTGAAAAAAAAATAAAATTTAAAGGCATTTTAGTCCAAAACGTCGGTAATCCAACAATACCTAAGGAAAGGGAGGTAATGACATTCCCGGTAATATACCCAAAAAATCCACTATTAATACCGGTAATAGGATTCCCGGACTAACCAAACGAGGGAATGTAAATTTCATTCATATGAGAATCACACATTCCGCCATCCAAACACCCCTTACAATGATCTTTTAACAGGTGTGGGATTTGACTGCTGGGAAACTGTTGCATCAATTCAAGGATCATGATGCGTAATCAAAGCTGTGTTGGAGTATGGGTTGTACGCATCAGGGAATTGCTCTGCTCAGGGGTGGAGAGGGGCGAGGGGGCGGTCACCCATAATAATTTTTAAATTTTTATATATTTTAGACATTTTTTTATTTTATGTTAAAAATATATTTTTTCTCCTTAAAATTTTATAAGTTCGTCTTTACTTTAAAGTTTTATAAATTCACTCTCTCTAACATAATATCCTACATCCGTTCCTAGCTCTGCTTTCAATGCTTTAACGTATTTAATTGCTCCATCTTTCTTTAATTGCAGTCATTACTATGCTTCAACATATTTGATTGTTCCATCTTTCTTTAATTGCAGTCATTATGTAAAGGTTTTGATATTGAATTTTGGTCATTGGCACAGCACATTGAACCACATGCAGTTGGTAATGCTAAACGTGTAAATGGTCATTCTGAACCTAAATCTCCTTCAGGTGGAAACCTCTCTGTATTAACCGAGATTTCATGCTGCCGGTCATCTTAGGTTTGAACGTTGCGATCTCTGCTTTACATAAATCGGAAAAGTAAAACAATGGCTGCCAATTCTTACCAGGTGAGAGCATGGTGTTTATTAAACTGCCATAGGTATAAGCATATGCAGTTGTTGTATACCATATGACTTATTCTTTTCTTTCTGTTCAGTTTTTGTACGTAGAAAGGGGGATCAGCTGCAAAATCTGCCCAGGAATTGAATCTAGCACTGCAACAAGTATCATGACTGAAATCAACACATTGAATGAATTCACCAACTTTATTTCCATGCTTTTCACGGGTAAAATTCTTCGAGTTTTGGCGCACTGAAAGACCGATCAAAACATCGACTAAAACACCGATCAAAGCATCAACGACTATGATGCATATTATATTGTAAGTCCTGCTGTACCTTATACATTTTACACCCTTAATGAAAGCCAAATTAACTGCTAACCTGATTCTTCACTGCAATCTGCATTGACTGGAAAAACGAAGTCGGACAGTTGCTGAATAGTTCAATGGAGTTCATCGACCTGATGTTACACTCTTAAGATATGAATACCGGATTCGGATTTCATTTGAATCAAAATCAAAGTGTATAGTGTATACATAAATTCAAGAAATCATATGTAAATAAGTTGCAAATAGCAAATTTAATATTCAAATCCAAGTGAAACAATCAAATTACCAAGAGCTCTGAAGTTTTCATTGGCTTCTACAGATCTAAATTGATCAGCAAACGAAAGGGGCCTATAACGTTAGAAATTGCTAATGCACACAAGTTACATCCAGCACTGATTAGAAAGGTTTTGGTTTAGGGCTTCGGGTACATCTGATCGGATGCTTTGTTCGATGTTTCAAACTCGACTTTCACAGTTGGTTCATCGATAGCCATTGGCCGAGCATCTACAGACTGAAAAATTTTCAAAGTTCCAATACAAGTTTCAGAATCTTGTCTGCCTATAATTTATGGACAATCACGATACGGATGCAGGTTTATTTTACATTACCTTTGTAATTGCAATCTCGTTTGTTGCAATGTCAAACCCTCTAGCTTGCTCGGCAGCTCCTTTTGAAACCTCCTGATAGGATACAAGCCGGAACGAAAATTTTCCATCAAAACGAGCGATTAAGTGGGGGAAAAAAAGTAAGACTAGCATTGTGAATGCCTTAAGTCTCACAACCATGAACAGAATCGAACATTTACAGCTTATAGCATACCAAATCTTTTCTTGCGTGTTCAACTACTTCTCTCTTTACTCTGGTCGGAACAGGTCTACATAATGATTGTGAAGGCGATGAGTGAACGAAAAGATGAAAATAATATGCATTAAAAACAGGTTCGGGTGAAAATTTTGAACATGTTTTTTTTAAAGACATTTACCGCTTCTCATCAACCTCCATGCCGGAATCCGGATCCCATCTTTCATTAGCATCATCTTGATCTTCATCAGCCTGAATATATATGAATTAAAAAGCAACAAGTATAAGAGCCAAGTAGCTGTATGTAATTAGTAAGATGTACAAAATTCTGCGTTACTCCAACACTCGCTTTTCTTAAAGTATCTATGTCCGATGCATGCCTGAACATGAATATAGAGATATGTCCTTCCAAAGATCCTTCAAATATGTTAAAACTTGGAAAAGATTGAATATATCCATATACGACATTCATACTCAAGCCAAAGTAACAGAGAAAATGTATCAATGCAAACTAACACAAAGTTAACAATATAGAAGAGAATTAAAGCATAGTGCAATGCTGAAAATGGACACATAAAAATGCCTGCAACCATGCAAGGATTGAGAAGATTGTAAACCAAGTGGAAAATGTAGATAAAGAAGCCATGGAACACACCTCGGGAAGATCGGTGTCCGGTGGTCTTTCTTGAAATTGGACACTCGGTGCATGTTGGAGCTTTGAGAGATTTTCCAGTAGATTATTGTGTATCTCTTCAAGTAACTGGCGTGAATTCTTGTTTTCCATATTACTAGGAGCAACATGAAGGGAATAATCAGGACCGAAATACTCGTAATACTCATGTTGAGGCAGCTGGTCGTCAACTTCCGTTCCAAGTGCAACTCCGGTCTGTTCACATAGAGACCGTTATTAATAAACTAATCCACCACAAGGAAATCTCAGATAGTTCTTCTAAGATTGAGATTGATATATTACCTCATAGCACCAACAGCGAGCAACATTCCGAATGGTGTAACCACCACCACCCAGTAGCAACAACGGAACATTGAATGATCTCATAAATTTAACACACTCTGCATGACCCTTGATCGAAAGATTGAAACACCCCAACCTATCTCCGGATAGAGAATCAGCACCGCACTGAAGAACCACTGCACCAGGCTTAAATACTTCCATAACTTTACCCATAATTGGCTTAAACAAGTAATGGTAACTCTCATCGTCAATTCCATCATCCAAAGGAACATTCAGGGAATAATATTTCCCTTTTGAATGTCCAATATCACGTATATCCCCCGTGCCCGGAAAGTAATCACCAAATTTATGAAACGAAACAGTCATAACCCTGTCACTTGTATAAAATGCCTCCTCCACACCATCCCCGTGGTGGATATCGATATCAACATAAAGAACACGCTGCAGCAAAGAGAAGAAGCAACATTGATGAGAAACTATACAACATACAAGGTTGCCTCTTGCATATGAAGAAAGTTCTAAAGAAAGCTACAAAAACCAAATAAGCTGTTTTGTAAGTTTTTCTATCATTTGCCTGAGTACTGAACCCGAGCTTTGGTTCAGTACGCGCTATACAATGGCTTAACTCTTTCTTAAAATTCACCAATCATGAGACAAACATATAGTTGTCTCTTGAGTCTCAATGATGTTGAAGAAAGTTCCCAAGAAAGCTAATGAGGAACTAAGGTATAAAAAACAACCTGATGCGTCTTAAGAAGTTCTGAGGAACTAAGGTATCAAAAACAACCTGATGCGTCTTAAGAAGTTCCAATATTGCAAGGACAATATCATTGACATAGCAAAAGCCCGAGGCCTCGCATTT